TCCCTTCCATAGTGGGTGCCTTTCCATGCCCTATCTTTGCTTCTAGGTCTAGGGCCACCTTGCTGAACGAAGGAAAGTTGTGCATATTAATGTTGGCCTCTTTTGGCAACTGGTTCCTGAGCGGCAGAGATAAGGTCATCAGGTACAAAGTTAGCAAGACCTGGGGGTCATAGCGTACCCCTGGAACACAAATCAAACGCTCTACAGCGTCGGTGGCATCCCTTACTGACTTAAATTGCCTCGTGTGCAGTGTCAAAATCGCATCAGTGGCCTTTTGAGCGTCCTGCGGATCATGCCACCTGTCTTCCACCATTTTCAGGAAATCCTCCAATTTTTGAGAGGCTGCCCAAGAGCGGAAGTCATGACCGTACCCCTGGAGTTGCACTAACCCACTCAGCCATCTCGCTGCACTACCCTCCAAATAGGAAGCAGCCACAAGCACTTCTTCGTGTGGCAAGGTGAGTTTACACCTGACGTAGACTGGCACCGCCCTCAACCAAGTGTCGAGGTCTTCGCCTCTCTTGTCTCTTGTAAAAGGTTTGGGAGCGGCGATGGCCGTCTTTGGAACCCACTGACTTTGTCCCGGTCCCTGCACCAACCCGGGCTGTGGACCCGGCGATACAGTTGTTGTGCTAGCTGTTGGGACTGTGTGCTCTGAGGTTGCACTAACTGCGAGACAGCAGGCTGCGTGGTGACTGCAACCTGTGACGGACTTGGAGTAAACACTGTCTGAACAGGAACCTGCAAACTACTCCCTGTTGTTACCCCTCCTGACAGAGGCATGCCCAGGGAAACGATAGCAACCGATGAAGGGGCTACATATGGGGATACCCCAGTCACCGGTGGAACAGAAGGAGGAGGATATGGCACTSACCAGGCACCAGGCCCTGCTGGTGATGGTGCTGCCTGAGCACGCCCTGCCAATACGGCTAGGCTTTGTTGAATGTCCTGGAGGAGGGTAGTTTGATGCTCCTGCATCTCAATTACGCCTAGCAGGGCCCTCCTAACTACCTTCACATCCTCATCCATATGCGTCAGGTCCATCRTCTCTAACTCCTCTATGTCTGTCCCTCTCTGTTGCATCCTGGCTCTTCTTCTAATCATCATCTCTTTCTCCCTTTTTATCTTTCCTAATGCCTGCTGTAGCTGTGCCTCTTGCAGGGATGCCTGTTGAATGGCGACATCCTCTGAGGACAACACCGCGGGCTGGCTTGCCATTAAGCCAGTGGACTGACTCACGGTCTGCACGACCGTGGACCCGGCGGTACCTGAACTTCCGGCTTGGGAAGTCTGCTGTGCAGACGTGCTCATGGTTGTGGTAGCCATGGCTGCTATAGCACTGGCCTCTCTAGCAAATGCCCTGCTGGCCTCGGCTGCTCTAGCTCTCCTTTCCCTTTGTCGGTGGAACAGTTCCCTATCACCCTCCGGTCCTAAAGACACATGGGATACCGGTCCTCTAGCCGATCGTAAAGTCATGCGGTCGTCCTCTCTGGTGTCCTCCACGTCGCTCATAGGCTACAGCACTGTGCACTGTCCACACTAGATCATTCTAGATGCCTACCGCAGCTTAGTACACAGACCAAATAATTAGTGGTGGCTATCAGAACAGATCTCATTTGGGGTCAACAGGTAAGTGAGGTTCCTATTGTCAATACTATTTTTAGCAAGATTAGTTCCCAGACAGAGAAAACATCAAGAATAAATAATATTCTAAACTAATGTTGTCTGTCAGATGTCACATGGCTGTCCATCTAACTAATCAATAATAAGAATAATGTTGATTGACCGGGTCTGTTCACAGTTTGGAATTTAAACCCGAACTTATCATCTGAAATCTACCCCTTCCTTTGTTCTTCCCAATGTCACGGTGTCACGTTTCTTTGCATCAGAAGCCAAGCGTGTCTTAAAGGTGTGCAATCCGGTCCCACCCCTGTGCCCCGGGTTATCGTCGAGCAAGGCAGCCACAACACTCTTATTTACCCTCGTACGCCGACGAGCCTTCCACTCGGATGATCTGGCTGATCAAGAGGCAATTTAACGTCCGCCCCCAAGTGACATCAGGAATTATTTTACGTCGCAGCAGGACGACGATCACAGCCAGATCAGAGCCGAGTCCCCAGCCAGAAATGTTTATAGACGGTCTGGTAAGCGTCTGTAGAGGCTGCCACACTCGAGTTAACCCCTATCATGCGCAAGCAGCAGAACCAACGACTTGCAGCGAAGCATGCGTGTACTATACCCAGTGAGTTGGCATGGTGACCGTGACCCAGTGCTTCGTCCAGGGCCCTTCAAGAAGCTCCGCCCGTCTTCCCCCAGATGCTCCACGTGAACAATCACGACTGTCAAGGTTGAGCGCACACGACACCTCACAATGAGAGGACTCTCAAGACAGAACTCACAACCTCACGGTAAGAAGTGATGAAGAGGGTTCTTTCTTTCCGTCTCATTAATGAAACAAGTGAGATGCGTTGCGTAAAGTCGACGTACCTCGTTCATGCTGCCCCCAACCACAGAGATAATCTCACCAGATGACCTGAAGATGATTGCGATGACCAGTCACAGCATCGGCACAACCTGCGTTTCGCCGTTCCACCTCAGCCTCAATCACCCAACAGATAATTCTCATCACACTGCGGACACCCAATATTCACACCTTAGCCTTCCAGGCGATGCCCTTCACCACCTGTGTCGCCTTCACACTCGTCTCCACCCTCCTCACTACACACCACTTACGGCCAAGCTCTCCCAGCAGACCGCATGTATGTACCGTATAAGTCGGAAGACAAGCGCCAGATGAGCGCAATCGTACCACAACTCCGATACCAAATTGCAAGGAAGATGAGCATTAGCGAACTTTGGCAATCAAACAGCATCATACATATGAGCCCAGATAGTCTTGACCTCGAACCACAACAGACTGGCATCACGAGATACACCAAATAAGAATACACCAAGAGTTCAAAATTGACAATGCTGAAGTAGTCCCATCATCATCAACTACGAACCAAAGTTGATATCCCATTGGCGCTCGGCGCCCAGACTACAGGTGGCAGATCCTATCTAGCCTATACTACGAAGCAGAATGATGAMATCAACAGCGTTCCCGAAGTACGAGCATATGGCAACCAATGTCGCACGCTTCAGCACCAGGTATGTCTCTCGTAACACTCACAACCCCGATCCACACCGCACAGATGCCACTTGCACCCCAAGGACCACCCTGCGCTTCACCTAGCATACAGCAGCGCAGCTTGGCTATGGCTGCGTGCTCCCTCCTACTCGCCCATGAGAGCGTGAGTGCCAGCCAGCCAGCGGATTGCGCAGCAGTGCTCACGCAGCATGCAGCCAGCACGCGAATGCCGAATGAGGAGGCAGGCCCTTCCCTATATCGAAGTGGCCTGCCTGCGTCCAGTCCAGGAAACTTCCGGTAGGCCCCGGTAGGCACAGGCCCAGTCACGAAGGAAGCAGGCCTGGGGCCTGAAGTGGTTGCATGCGCCCAACTGCTTTCGGCCTGTGTTTGGCCTGGTACCCGTATCCAGCCCAGGGCCTGCTGCACATTCATTTACACAGGCGGCCCAGGGCCTGGATTCATTCAACCAACTGGCGCAATGCAACTGTCTGAATTTCCCCATTGCGGGGTACCCTGAAGACTGAGGCCCGAAGGGCCTGTCGTGCCTGCCTTCACTTAGGGCGGCCGACCTTGTTGCAGATAGGGCCTCGTAGGGGCTCAGCGGGCGTAGCCTCGCACTTGGCAGCA